TTGAGAAATTGCATTGCATATTTGTCGAAGGAACCGGAAGGAGTTTACTTCCGGGTTTTACGACGCGTCACTGCGGTTCTCTATACTGTTTTCCTCAGACGCGGAGGGATACTGACTTGTTGTGAAAAGTAACTTACAATTCTACCCGTGGTATACGCTCAGTATATCACGGCTAAGAACCAATCAGATTGCTTGATTTGACTTGTCCGTTTTATAAAAACAATTATAACCCTTATTAAATGTACAACAGAATCCCCCACTCTGCCATTCCTGGCTCCTACAAGTGTTATTCTCAATTCTGATGTAGTTCTCAGAAACAATTTAATCGGTGTGGTTGTATTAATTGTCTTCTTAAATGTGGCTGATATCAGATTTCCCTGTGAACTGGTCAAGGTTCTGAACTGACCAGCAAGCTTGCAGATTCCATAGCAGATGAAAACAAGGGCACGGACAAAGAAAGGGACTTTTTAAAATTATTCTGCTTTATGTGAAGAAAAGGCAAAGCAGCGTATGAACCAGGAATGGTGGGGTTGAAACATGAATATATTCAATTAAAACGGTTTTGTATGCACTTCTTCACAAAACGTCACAAAATCAGAATAAAAAAGTTCCGATTCCATTTGACTTGTGTTGTTCACACTGTTGAGCTAAATCATCAGATGGGGGAACAGCAAGGTTTTGCTAACGTCAGAATGCTAACATGCTTACAGTGACAATGCTAACATGCGGATGTTGGGCAAGTACAATGTTTACCATGTTCCCTTTTAGTTTAGCTTGTAAGCATATTGGAGGTATTTGGTCATACACTAAAATTACTGGACGCATTTAAATTCAACCTGATGATGGCACTATTTTAAAACTCAAGTGTATTGACAACTTTAATGGTAGTCTATTGAAATACATGTTGAGATATCTTAGTCTTAGTTTATCAACTAAGTATTTGAACAAACATGTTTAACTTACAACTCTTTAAATATATGTTCTTAAACTCCATCACTTTACAAATATAATTGTTATTGTTAATTATTATACATAAACATTACAACCTAACCGTAACCCAAACCCCTAACCCCAACCCTAAAAAAATATCTAACACTTACCAAACACCCAAAAAACTGAACCAATCCAACCCTAATTAAATGGTCCCTAAACTAACATTTTATAAATCTAAACGTTGGTTTGAAATAGTTAAGATATAATAAATACAGACACATTACAAGGGAAGTATAAATGTGTCTCACAGGGCAAATTTGTTTAGAAGTCCTTAGTGATAAGCAACTGCTGCCTTAAAATCTCTTAAACAGACGCATATTAGTGTTATCAATCACATTCCATAGTTGTGGATATCCCACTAAAGTTGGTACATTTAAGTTGATCCTTTATAAGATGCATTTTCTTAGTCTTATACGTAAGCCAGGGGAAATAAGTTGGAAACACCACCAGTTACATGTACATTAAGTGACATGTTGCTGTCATTCAAATCACTGTGACTGCAGTGACAGTAGCCCCAGTGCCTTTAATCTTACTCATGTAGAAACAAAGTGTTACACCGGGGGCTTTGCTCTTCCTCCTGGACCACGTGGCCCACATGAGAGTGTAGTGTCTACTCAGTTTAAGAGGGAAAAAACGTCTCTGCTGCAGCAACACATCCTGTGTTATGCTGTGTGTTCACTTTACTTCTGCTGAAATGTTGTAATACGCTGCAGAAAGAAAGAAAGCGCATCTGCTCAGCTATAGCTAACCTTACAGATGCAGTATGTCAATGAGGACACCAATGTTGTTTACAACATCGTTTGGAACAAATACAATTGTTCCTACATGGAACTTCTTCTATAGATGATCTTCTTTGGGGTGAACTGTCCCTTTGACCGAGCTTACGCAGCAGCTGGCCCTATACAGGCTCTGGAACACTCTGCCCCTCCATGTGAGGTCGGCCCAGACCCTAGGGGTTTTTAAATCTACACTTAAAACACACTTCTTCTCCCTGGCCTTTTAGTCAGAGCGGAGCATGACTCCTGACTTTTCCCTGTGTTTTTCATATATCTGTTGTAATTTATTGTCTTTTATTGTGATTGTAGTAATGTGTTTTTATGTGATTGTAGTATTTATTACATGTAGCCTACATCACTTTGGCCCGACCAAAAATCGCTTTTAAATGTGCTTTATAAATGTGCTTTATAAATAAACTTTGATTTGATTTGATTTAAGATGATGACTTATTAGCAATATTCCTTTCGCATTAAATATTTGCCTTGACAGCGTGATGAATGACTCGTGTAGTTTTGAAGAAAGAAAAAAGTACCTACGTGAAACTACTCACAAGATCTGTGGATTATCTTCTCTTTTGGGGTGAACTGTCCCTTTAATTTGAGATGTTGTTTATTCACAACATATACAAAAAAATTCCACAGCCTACTAGTGCTATTAGTTTGAGCACAGATCCCGCCTGTGTGATGTTACGCACAGCACTTAGAATGGTGAGATAGCAACATCTGTGCAGCAGACACACCAGACACTGCTCACTGTTTGACTCTGAAGTCAGTCCAACTCACTCTGCATTATTTGAACATAACAGGAGTAGACTAAAATGCTGAGTCACCATTTATACATACAGTCTATGGTCAGCATCTGAGCATGGCATCATTGATGTGAAGACTGAAGAGGCAGAGTCCATTTTCTTCTGTCACAGAGAAAAAAATATAAGAACTTCCTCTCTCAGACACACATTACATAACTTGAAACTTTATTGAGATGACCACCTTCTGTTTGAGCAGTAAAATCCTCCATTATTTGAATATGGGAGGAGAAGGAAGACTCGAGGTTGATACAAATGAGCAGGCAAATTGTGTCAAACGCATATTTGTATATTTAAACGTGAGTGCTGAGAAAAAATACCTTTTTTGTAGACTTTGGGTTGTGTAACTCCTGCATTATCCCTTTAACAACAGTGCATATATTACATTAAATATGGCTATATAACGCTATTAAAGTTTTCGTTCTTGTGTGTTTAAAAGCGTCTTTGAGCATTAGGAAAAGCACTATAAAAATTCCATGTATTATTATTATTATAATAAGTTAAATCTGTGACAGATATACGAGGTTTAAAGAAGGCGAGATCTTATCATGAAAAGAAATGAAAATCAGATTGATAATAAAGAAATATCACTTGAGGCTCGACATGTGGCGAGGAGAGATCTGATTTCACGGGATGGGAAGGTCATGTTTTCCCTCAATAATCTTCCAGACAATAGCACCATGTTTGTAAGAGATCTGAACGGAACTCTGTGCTCATACAGCTGCAACAACAGATACAGAGGAAGGCTCGGGTTCACCAGATGGTGCCATGGTTATTTTTTCAAATGAAAACCTTGAGCTGTTGCAGATGACCTCACATACCATTTTTGATGATTCACCATTTAAACCTCTAGTGAAAACTACCATGCACATACAATACTTTTCTGTTCTCAAAACATGTTTTTGAATTAACTTCACTTTGGTTTTTGGATGCCGCCTTCTTTTGTTTTTTTCAAATAAAAGTGAAAGAGGGTAGGCCTATACGTACAACCAAACCTTCAGTAAGACAGTCAAGAGTGAAAGTTCTAATACGCAAACACAGACAACAACACCCAAACTGGACGGCCATTCATATTACAAAATATCAATGAATTGTCGGTAGTAGTGAGGGACTACACTACAGTACATGCACTGCATGAATCAAGACAGAAGCAAACATTATAACCAAGAATGTACCTGTTTTGATCAATAATACTGTATTTTTTTACCAAAGCAATGACCATTCAAATACACGTACCTTTGGTAAAATGTTATAGTATGACTGGTATTCAAATAGCTCTATGTTAAAAGATTAAAAAGGCTTCTCTTGTGCAGAACAGACAAACTAGTCAACTCAAAATGCAGGTATTGTTCTCTGACCATGTCTGTCCATGGCCTCAAGTCATGCTAAAAGCTATGCATTGTCCAACTAATGGCTGAACATTTCTGCACTGCCAACACTAAAACGTGTTTGTAATAAATGTCTCCCTGACTAAGATTCAAAACCTAGGAAAGAGACCAGACCAACACAGATGAGGGCATTTGGGATGTTTTTTTGTTTGTGAGAATGAGGATAAAGAAAAAAGAGTGCAGGATTCTGTCAGAGCAGATCTTCTAGTGGTGGGGAAATGTTGCTGAGAGCATTTCCACACAAACAGAGGGGGATGCTACAACAACAGGCCTGACACACATCACAAAAACTGTGAGACTAAGAAAGAATCCGAGGATTATATAGGACATATAATGTAGTGTAAAAAAATATATCATACAGAAGAAGTTATTTTTGAGTATTGCGAGACAAAACGCATAAGGCAAGTAAATCAATCCAGGTAGTCTGCAATGTCATAAAGACAGAGAATAGCTGTCACTGAGAAACTGTAGAGCCATGTGAGACTATATGGACAAAAGTGTGAGTACAAAATCTCTGAGAATAAAAAAAAGAAGCAAAAAAAGCAAAGAAAATCAGTCACAAAAATTACCGTAGCACACTACAGTAGCTACTGGAAGAAAATGAACCGTGAGAGATGGTCTGTTACAATCGCCACAACAAACTTTCAAAACACGTTTTTTTCTTCCCATATGGCAAAGATCAGATACAATAATATTGTAACAGAAATCGCTCTACGCGATTGAGCTCGAAATAATGATGATACTGAAATACTGGAGTTTTCTCTGTTTTAAATTTATGTTGATTGAGATATGACTCTGCTCAGGTTTATGCCAAATGTTTGTTCGAATGCACGTAAAGATTACTTTTGGTAAAGCACAGTAATTAAATGTGCTTTTTTAAGGATTGATAACTCTCAGATTTCTAGCCTTAGTGAGGTGTGTGAAGTTAATTGACAAGAATTATAGAATCTGAAGGACAGCCTGAAGAAAGAACATTTAAGACTGAACCTAAAGAAGCCCAGGCTGTGATGAGATCTTTAAGCCTGACAAGATGAAAATGTATTTTTTGGTCAGACTTTTGCCTGCAGCAGAAAGCAGACTTCTTCTCAGCTCTGACACATTGGACTTTCCGTTCTTCAGTCAAATATTGAACAGGACATATCAGTGTCAATATAGAAAATTAACTGAATACAGTGGGGAATAATTTGATCTGTTGTATGCAGTGTTGAGAAAGCTAGTATGAAAGGTTTAACTATTGACAGATTGACAATGAACTGGTAGTGATGTTAGTAAACAAATTACCATCAATTGAGTTTATTTAAAACCATGCCCACATTCACAGGTCATACATAACCCAAAGTGAAATAAAAAATGCCCCTAAACAAATTATTGTCTCGCACCATTTTAAACCGACTTCACATGGCAATTCCAGTTAAAGCAAAAGTAAAATAATCTAAAAATAATAACATTAATTTCCTTCTAAGTTTCCATTTATTTATTTATTTTCAATAGTTAATTGCTAAAAAAAAGTAATGAAACTACTTGAACTCGTCACTTTTGATCGAATGTCTCCCTCTAGTGGTATTTTAAACAACAGCCTTTCCTTGTTCACAGTGAAAATCAATGACTACACATAGCAGAACCATATTGAAGTGCAGCTACTGCTTTCACATAATATACACAAAGAGCCGTTGTGAACAAATTAAAATTATGGCCGGATGCAGATATACTGAGGAGTAAGTATGTGCAGCTTTTTACCAGCTTAGCTTGGTTAAACTTTAATCAGTTTTAATTGCATAGTCGATTATTTTTACTACAACCATTGTTTTCCCAATCTATTGTTTTATTGTTTTAATCTCTCCCACTTTTGTTTCCTCTCAATCCGACATAGCCCGTATTTCAGGGGTCAAAAGGGCCAAAATTAATCCAAGAGACACTTTCGGGGGCCAGAGATTTTTATATATATATATTTATATATAAATAATAGTAAATGATATATATATATAATTGATTAATATGTTCACTTTATTGAAAAAATAATCTTTTTTTTTATAAGCCTGTATCCGGGGTAATAAAACTGAAAGCAGTCCTGATTGGCAGGGAAAGGAATCAACTTTTTTATTAATACCTTGTCCTGATTGGTGGGAAACGGTTGCAGGATATAAGAAAATTGTTTGCCAGGCACACAAACATTTCACTGTCAAAGAGCCTCAAGCGTAAAGTTGACGTGGAAAACCGCAGTTTTAATGAGGAATGGACGGATAAATACGCATTCATCATGCCATCGTTCAATAAGGCTACACCTGTTTGCCTTATCTGCAATGAAACGGTCGCTGTTGCAAAAGAGTACAATCTCAGGCGTCATCATATCACAAAGCATGCAACTTGCTCACTTTTTTTAGGAAGTAACTAAGTACATTTACTCAAGTAGCCTACTGTACTTAAGTACAATTTTGAGATACTTGTACCTTACTTGAGTATTTCTATTTTATACTACTTTGTACTTCTACAACTCAGAGGTGAATTGGGTACTTTTACTCCACTACATTTATTTAATATCTTTAGTTACTATGCAGATTTGAATTAATGATGTGAAATATAAAGAACTTTATAATCAAAACAGGCCTACATATTATTCGAAAAGGGGCCAATCTGCACAATGACTACTTTTACTTTTGGTACTTTTTAAGAACATTTAGATGCTAATACTTCTGCACTTTTACTTGAGTAACAACATATTGAATGCAGGACTTTTACTTGTAACAGAGTATTACTACACTCTGGTACTTCTACTTTTACTTAAGTAAAATATCTCAGTACTTCTCCCACCTTGCTTACTTCAATTTGAAAGAAAATCTTTTCAGATCATATTTTGACACATTCTATCTCAGTTTTTTTAACAATACAATAACTGGAGTGTAAAAACGACAATAGCACGAAGCTAGCTGTTCCTCGTTTCCAGTCTTTGTGCTAAGCTAGGTTAAGCTAAGCTAAGTTAAACTAAATAGCGGCTTCTTCCAACTTCTAATTTAGAATGAATTAACAAGAGTAGGATTCATTTTTTCTCATTTAGCTATCAACAATAAGATGAATAGGAATATATCCTAAAATGTTAAACTATTACTTTTAAAGAAGTGGCATTTGTAGGCAAAACAGTCGGATCAAGCTTTAAGCTAGTAACATCTAATTCACTTAGTCATGTAGAGAGATGTCAGAGGGATTGTTTCACAAAGTGGGAGTTGACAGCAAAGTTACTCGTTTTTGAATCTGTGAGTGCTGGCAGCAGTCAGTCAGGCTCCCTCCGGTTTGCAGGCCAGGAGACAGTAATATCTCACAGACACCTCCACCTCTGTCTCTGCAGAGGACACCTTCATCACGGACATCAACCTGAGGAGACAGCGGGTCACCGTTATGTCAAAGAGTGTAGGCCTATTGGGAAATCTTATTCAAAACCTTACCTCTCCAATATGACCGTTTTAAAGAAATCATGGTATATTTGGCATGTGTTGATAGTACATTATGGTTTGCTTCAGCTATAAAACAAATGTAAATACAAAATTCCATAAGTCTGTACTATATATGATCAGGGTTGGATAGCAACAGACGTAATGTTATCTGGACTACAAAATCAGATAACAAAAGTAACAATCATTTAAAACAGGGCCTACTCTTGTTGTTGTTGTTGTTGTTGTTGTTGTTGCTGCTGCTTTTGTTGTTGTTGTTGTTGTAACATTGTCAACGTTAACTTGGTGACATTTTTGATTACATCTCAAATTATAAAAGGGTAAATTACTCCTCTCAGGTTGCCAATTTTGTAAATTGTGATTGAATTAATTATTGCTTTTTGATGATGATATATGGAGTTTTGATTACTTTGCATTCATCAAATGTTTGGAGCTTTGTCACTGTTTAGTAATAATATGCAATATTTTTCGATGTTTGATTGTGAAATAATATTTAAAAAATCACAATTTGAATTACAAAATTGTCATTAACTATGTACTCAGTAACTTATTATAATTTTAAAATACAAAAGATGATTAGTGTCACATATAGCTGAGTTCAGAGGTTAATGTCAGACCTCAAATAAATGTTCACACTTGACCCCCTTAACCTTTTCCAGACTAAATAAACTCACCAAGCATGCTACTAATACTTTTCACAGAGCATTGTCAAATGTGTGATGTGCACACATATGTACATTTGACTGTATGTATAGTACAATTTGCCATGTACCTGTGACTGAAGTCCTGAGACAGGACGGTGGCTTTCTGCAGGTCTTCTCTCACCAGAGTCTGATAGCTGGAGAAAGACTCCACAAACCCCATGAAGCTGGAAAGAGGCATGGGCCTTTTCACACGCACACACTCATGCCTGTAATACAATTTGAAACAACACAGTCAGTACCATATCAACCATAGATGATTTTCCATTCTAAACCAAACTCGCAGCAAACAACTATAAGAAGCTCTTACCACTCCTTGTCAGGGTAAGGGAGGGATTTATACGCCTCCCGGTACAATTCAATCGAATTGGAACCAAGGTGGGCACTGCGGTAAGGAACCAAGGCCACATAGAACTGGTACAACCAAGAGAGAGGAAGTTAGGAGATTCTTCATCACTATCAATAGAGCATGTCTTACAGATGTGTTTGATTCAGCTATTTAATGCTATAAACAGCTTTAATACCTAGCTTTGTGTGCATACTTCAGCTTGTTTTAAAGGTCCCATGTCGTGGGCATTTCTACTGATCATAATTCCATTGTTGAGGTCTACTAGAATAGATTTACATTACATTGTTCAATGTTCCAAAATCACATTGGCTTTTTCATACAGCATCTCTGTATAGTATGTTCACTCTCGGTCCTACACGCCTTGTTGGAGCTCCTGGAGCAGTGATTGCACATCTGTTTGTTTCTCAACCATTCCTTGAGTTGACCTTTTAAACTATTGACAGTGGGACAATCCCGTATCTCAGTTGGGAGGCTATTCCACAATGTCCAAAAATTGTCCGTCTATGGTGGACTTCACAGTCTCGTCTGGTTTCTGACCTAGTGCAGCGTCCAGTGTGTTTTTTGTGGATGAATTCCCCTAAGGTCCAAGTCCTTGTAAAACATTTATAAAAAAAACAAATACTTTTAAAAGACTTAAAACTGTCAAAACTCAAGAAATTGTGATTTTCTAGGATGGTACTTTGAGGGTTTGTGACTTTGCAGACCGTTTACATGCAGTAAAAGCTACATAACACACAAGGGAACGGGAAATAACCGGAAAAGCAAGACTTGGGACCTTTAACACTTTAATGGTGTCTGCCATCCACTCATCATTGTTTTTTGCAACCTAAGTGAGTGAAATTAAGATCCACTAGATGGTGCCGTTGTTCATTTTTAAAAGGTGCCTTGATTGGTTCTGGACAGAAACGCCACTATGATGAGAAGACTATTGAACGTGTCATGTGTTTTTTCGTGCCTTTGTAATGTTCTGGGGGAAAAAACAATCTCCATCTTAGTGTTAACAATTCCAGTATTATTGACTGTGCTGCACCACACTGAAACCTGCCTCTTTACAAAAACACACCTCTTCAATCTGGCTTTTAATGATTGTTTTTGTATTATTTGACTTTAACTTTAACTATATACTATATTTATATGTTGTTCTTTTCTTTTCTCTATATATGTAAAGCGTCTTTGAGCACCTGTAAAAGCGCAAACAAAATAAATCTATTTTATTATTATTATTATTATTTAAGTTTAAACGTTTAAGCAAATTATTATTTAATTGGCTTTAATTCAATTTAATTTAATTTAAGGAATTACTTGGAAATTGTCAACTAGGAATCTGAATTTGAGTATAGTTTATCTAACTCTGCCCTCTCCTTGTGTCTGGAGGAACTACATTTTGCTTACTAAAAGGAAGGAACAGGAAGCAAGGGGGTCTTGTGGCACAAACAGTTGTTGATGAGCCAAGGGTAATATATTGTCAGTAACGATGATTAATTAGTTTAGTGTTGTGTGATTATGTATTCACTCAATATTCACTGAGTACATCTGAAGAAAAGCTGGGAGCTGTTAACCTGTAAGCTGAGAGGGGGGTTAAAAAAAGGGGTCTTTTGTGTTTGTTAGGGTGAATGCAGATGTTTGTTATCCATTTAAATTATTGTATCTTGCAATCTTATTTTATTGTGAAAACAAAACTAAAACGGCTTGGATTTTACAAAATAACTACTTCCAGTCCCTGCAAATCTTAGGCTATCAGCTTAGTCTAAAAGTAAGATAAGACTGCCCCCTCCTTAGAAAAGGTTAACATTAGATATAGGTTTGGCTTGAAATTGCTACGATAAAGCTAAGATCATGCTAAAGGTAAATACTGAAGGTTCCTTATGGTATTTGAGGTTAGCTTGGTTTTGATGTTCTGCTGTATGATGTGTGCTTTCCTTGGTGAGTGACATCAAAGCTGTAATGTAGATTGTGCATGGTTCGAGATATTCAGGTTTTAAATGGCTAAATCGGCAATCTAAAAGGGGATCAAACTATAATATTGTGTGCATGTAATCTGTTATGCTTACTGGGACACTTCAACACAGCCATTGTTAATGTAATAACTTAAACCTGTTCGTCATTGCTAAACAGCCTTAAATGTAGCTGAGGGAGTTTCACTTATATTACAGTAGGTGAATACACCTCTTGGCAGATTTGGTTGAGTGTCTGAGAGCAGCAATCAGGGTAGCTGAGCTCCATGTCCATGGTGTAGTTGAGCAGAGCCATGCAGCCCCGGGGCTTCAGCACTCGGTGGGCCTCCTGCAGGAAGCGTGGCCGGTCGAACCAGTGGAAGGCAGACATGGCCGTCACCAAGTCCACTGAGCTGTCAGCCAATGGCAGCTCCTCAGCAACACACTGTCTGAAGAATAAACAGCCAGATTAAACTTTGAACCCCTGCTGACAGAATACAGCACCTGGGATTTCAACATCTTTCATGCCAAAGAACCCTGGACTTAAAGAAATAGACACTACCTACTACATATGTAGAAAATGGAGTTGGGTATTAAACTGGGACTACAATAATGTGTATGGTGGCCTAAAGCGCCATGTACTGTATACAAATACTTTTTATTGGTGCATTCAATACAATGCTATGAAAAAATAACATGTCAGAATAGTTTAAGAGTTCCCAGAGATTTAACATTGGCTAGCTCACGTGATTATACGAAGATTAATGGGTTACAAATAGGCTATCATTAATGTTATCCTCATTGAATGTTTTATTTGTATTTAGATTTAGGAGATTTCCATACAAAACACATTTGAGTCTCATATTGGCTTTTTTTGGTGACACTTTTACTGTCAAGTTTAATATCAAATTACTGTCATTGCTTCTAAAGTAGTTGTATGGTAAGAATGGCCTCTGAGTGAGGTGACTGACCTGAAAGATACACGGTGTTGCCACAGTCTACTGCTTGCTTCACCAAAGTATTTTAAAGGGACATGTGAGCAGAGGGGTATTTAGTTGATTGCGATTTGTAACAATACTGTAGATGCTGCCAAATCCTTTGCACTGTCTTTACTTTCTTTGCTTTAAGATAGCTAGATCAGCAACTGCTACAGAGTTTTAGCCAGTAAGCTCCTGCTGAACTGAAAAAAATAACATTTTGAAATGAAGTTTCTTGAAGTTTTTTTCAATATTATATTTCATACAATACTTTTTCAATGACTTACGTGCAGTGAGTGCCTGGTTTGTTAACTGCACTGTGATTTGTTTTTATACATCCTCATAAGGTGAAAGTTTACTTATTTGGACTTTGACAGGTACTTGCAGCATCTTTAAACTTGTACAAAGGACTCACTGCTTATAGAAAAGCATGTCTAGCAGCAGTACAATTCCCAGCAACAAAATGTAAGATGTAACATTTAAAATTGCTTTGGTAGTTGCTGAATAATTTGAGATTTAATATGATATTTTATTTAGTTAACATATACAGTATATGATGTGCAACAGCATGAGAACAGCACCATTATAGTTTTCAAGGTTTTGAAGATTTCTTACTTCTATAACCAGCCCTGTGTAATATGAAATCATAAATGACACAAGCATTCGTAGTTTACAGTCCGGTGCTGATAGGATATTGTATTTCTTACTGCATGACCAACTTTCACCAGACAAGGGTCCCATTGTTCTTTCTTTGACGAAGATTCAATAAGCTACTTTGCTTATCAGATTTGTTTGAACTAGATTAACATGTATTGTTAGTTGTAGTGTTTATTTAAAACAGTCGTTTGATTTCACACTCTTTAGCCAAGGAAAAACAAATATATCCCCAGAAAAAAAAGGATTGAATACGATTTGAAAGTTGCCTACAGAATACATGCATGTCTTTAATTTATTTCCTTTGCAAGCTCCGACTCTATAAAAAAAAGCTTACTTGTGACTGTGTTTGATCATACTTGTAGGTGATGTTTGGCTCTTTGGAATGCTGTAGAGCCATTTCCACCTGAGCAGGACTAACGTCTGTCGCCACCATGGAGGCAAAGTGTTTGGCCAGCAGCACGGTGCCCTGTCCTGATCCGCAACCCACATCCACCGCCAGCTCAAAGGGATGTCCTTTCTGACAAGATATTTAGCAAGTTAAAATAATTACACAGCCATGATCACCACAATTTCCCCCCCCACTTGTACTTACATGCTTTTCCAGGAAGTCAAGCACCTGTTGTATGAGATTATCTGATGGAGAGATCCTGAACTTCCAATAGGAAGAAGCATGGTCTTTGCCCTCAAACAGACGGTAAGTCATAGCAAGTTGGTGCCTCTGTCAATAGCTGAATAAGATAAGAAAACGAACTAGAGAAATCTATTCTATGTTCGATTGTTTATTGTATAAAAAGAGCTAACTGGCAGTCACAGACACACACACACACACACACACACACACACTAACCCAGTAGAAAGCAGATTAATTCAACAGGGGAGCTCCAGGGGAAAAGGGACGGCCCACAACTGAAAGGCCTCTTGGTTTGTTTGTTTGTTAATGAAGGCCTTTAAAGGGACAGCATCAAACTCTTTTACATGCTCTGGTTTCTAACTTTTTTCGACAATGCTGTGTTTCGAGAGTAATCCATGATAATTACGTTGAATGGAAATCAACGTCAAGCTGTCAAGCTCAAAGGTCTGTTTGAGTAATTGGGTCAGCTTATGTGGTTTTCTGTTAGAACCAATGGGAACCCTATGGAGAGGATGGGGGTGAGGTACCAATGGAATGTGTACAAGAATGTTGTTAACGACATCCTGCGTGGAACTCTCCTCTTTCTGAATCTGTTGGCTATTCAACACAATGCTACTCTTTAACTAGGGGTGCTTGTTATTCCTTCTCCGTGCTGTAGAACTGTAAAAAAGAGGCAGGGGGCAGCAGAATTTGGTTTCGTCCATTTCCTGGTGTAAAAGGCAATTGATTTAATTGTAAATAAAACATTTTTAACAATGGTTTTATTGGCCAATCATATAAAAAGTAAGCCACCTTACCATTGTGATTTTAATTGATCATTCTTAACGGTAAGTAGGTGTTCATTGGTTGCATTAGTTTCAAATGGACACCACATACAATCCAAAGCTTTGATTACATCATGAAGATTTTTCCTTTTGTGAGAATAGCTTAAGTTTAACAGTCATTCCATTCATGTTCCAATATACTGTTGTGCAACTTTCATCACTACGCAATCTTGAAAGCTGAATTTGAGATTTTTGGGTTGAACAAGACGTTTTATTGCTCACTTGTGTTTCAATACTATACAATAACACCAAAAACTTAACCAGCATTAAACCAATAATCCTGATAATTAGTTGGATCTTTCTATTTTACTTCCAAAACACAACTCTTATGGAGACTATTCCAAAAAGCACATGTCAAAATTGATCAAAGTGGATTAGGTTTCTGCAACAAAATCCTGAAAATAGAGTAACATTTTCAACATTAGGCTTTTTTTTTTATTACAGTACAGCTGGGTTGGCCTTCTCTTTCTTTGTAAGAAGCTATGCTGTGAATAGCTACTTTGATTTCATTACAGTGTACAAAGCAGGTACATCATAAACTCTGCCAAGCAACGAGCTGCCTTCTACCCACTCAAAAAAGAGAAAGAATAAAGAAAAGGCAAAGATGCCATTAAAGTAAGTAAAGAACCTTGGCTAAAAAACTTCACTTATCATTTGAACCAAAGCATCTAAGCACCCCTTTTGTGAAATAATAAAGGTAGGTTATTTAAAAAATAATCCAGTTATGTAACCTCTCATGGTTCAGCTGCTCTAAAGGGAAACAAATTGAAAGGAAGTTACACTGCAAAAGCAAAACTTCAAGACTAGAAAGAGACAGTAGATGTTTAGTCTATAAAGTATTTAATAAATCATCTGTAAACTGGTCTAAATATTGTGTAAAAGATGATATTCTAAGTCTGGTCAAAGATGATCCACATGCATTACACAAGACGGTCAATGAGTTGAACTTGAGGGAAAACATTTTTCATTTAGAAATATCTACATTTAACAAATCCCTCCATCAAATAGTAACATCTTATAGTTCATAAGTTGTAAATGTTAACATCTAAGGATCACAAACTATTTCTTAAAACACACACCCAATGCCACATGGTTGATTATAGTGGTTTTGATGCCAGGACACAGAAATATTCCAGTTCCTGCTTCATTTCCATGTCAGGAGACATGACTCCCATCTCCTCCAGAAACCTGTGAATCAGTCAGTGATTAGTCAAAACATTACAATAACAGACATTTACGATGCATGTGTGCGTATGGATAGATTACCTGTTCTGAGTATGAAGCAGCAGGATTTCAGCCGTCTGGGGATCTTTCTTCTTGTAAGCTTGGAAACTGGAAAGTGACTCAATGAAACCCATCAGGTTCCTCACAGAGGTCGACGAGTTCACCTGAAGGTCCTCAACCCTGTTGTATCATTATATAATGTATATTATTAACACAATTAAAAAATGCTGTCGCGTGAAAAACATCTTTGACATAATTTTACTATGAAATTATCATTAATTCAAGACAGCAAAAGTAAGCGTATTTCCGATTTAAGGAAAAAAATCGGGATTTCAGCTCTGAACGAGTTAGTTATTGCATGTTTTTGATGACAATTTAATACTGTATCTGTCAAATCTCATAGGTTTGTTTAGATCTTTGTTGTTATTTACCTTTCTTTGTCGGGAAAAGGGATGGCTGAGTAGAGCTCTTCCAGCTTGCCCAAAGCCAAAGCTACTTGATTGCTAGTGTATGGCAACAGTACCTGCCTCACCTGTAAATGTAAGATTTGAAGTTGGGTTGTATGAGGTAAGGTTACAGTAAGAAAAATATGTTTTATTTTAACAAAGGGGGATGCTGGTCTACCACCGCCTTGATCGGTTACTTTGTTTCTGTTATTGAGTGACTTTGGTGCAGTGAGTAGACCAGCAACTCCTGTGTTCTGCGAGGTAAAAATCACAGTTGTTTTGAAAGAGTCGAACGGCTATGAAGAGAGAAATGGCTGAGATGGCTGTCTGAGGACATTGAAAACAGGGTAAAATATTGTAAATATAGCATGCACTTAAACTGAAATTGATTTATTCGCATGGCTAAAATACCTTTTGCTGCTGGCCCAGTCGACAGCGGTACATTGGTTAGCTAGCCACTACTCCTGTGTTATTTTGCCTACCCCAATGTACTAAGATAGTACACTATGGGAAAGAACCTCATACTAACCCTCTTCCAAACATCCAAACGTTCCTTAAGTGCAGGGCTGGATATGGGAGGGGGTTAGTTTAGTTAACCATTAAGACAGGGCAAAGTTGGAAACCGCTTGGACGTCTCTGTCCAATGTTTCAAAATGTGTCACAAACACGTAAAGCACATCATTTATGCTGTATTTTGTTTGTTTACTTCATTGATCATAGGGAGGGGGTTAAGTGGCAAAACTAGTATTTCTTGACCAACAATGAAACATGGATCTAGCTTATCTTTCTTTTTTAGAGTAAGCATAATAAAACATTATGTTTGGTCGAGCCATTATGTATCCCCCTGCTTCAAGCCTTTACTGTCTTCTATCAGCTCTGGCCTTTCTTATTGGTGATACTGCCACTCAAAGCTGTGCAATGCCCATGGAAGTACACCCACCTCTTCACATATGTGGTCGAGTCTCTCTCCACAGTCCTGGTAGTGAAGTCTGGGGAAAGCACAACTGTAGCCCAGAAAAGCAACACAACCACCTGGTTTTAAAACCCGACATGCCTCAGCCAGGAACCTGGACTGATCAAACCAGTGGGCTGCTGATGCTGCAGTCAGCAAGTCCACAGAGCCACCTGGGAAAGGAAGCTCCTCCGCTGACCCTTTCCTGCATGGGCAACAGACACTTGTAACTAAGGAGGTCTCAATATCAGAAATATTGTAGTTTATAAAAATACAAGTGAACATCCACGATTCTCATAATGCATGTTATATCACGGTAAAAAAAAAGAAAAAAAAGAAATTACTCTAATATACACTCTTTCCTCACGGTATTCATGTTTTTTTGTTAGAAAGTGAAATATGTTATAATTCCTTGTCATATATGTTAATATTGTTGGGAAAACAAACCATAATTTATGCAAGTTTCTTGCCAAAATCTCTTAGACAAAGTTTAAATGCATCATAATAATAAAATAATTTACCCTTTGCCCAATTTTAATTATATTGAGAGCCTTAATGCGCCATCGCGCCACTCTATGGAACCTTGCTGCACGTTAGCTAATAAGGCAAGGCAAGTTTATTTATATAGCAACACAAGGCAATTCAAGGTGCTTTACAAAAATGAAACCCATTCAGACAAAGGCATTTAAAAACAGTCATTAAAAAGAAAAGATAATAAAAGAAACATTAACATAACAACTAACGCTAACTAGTTTTCCTTCTGTCAATTTCACTGATTTGATGTTTACAATGTATTGTTTGCAGAAAAAGGGTGCATTCCCTAAATGCGTTAAAAGGGAGTTTAGTGCGTCCTAAACTCATTTTCTATCATCCACAGAATAACTGTAGGCTGTTCGATAGTATCGAATTTTAGGGGTTTAACAGTTCTCTTGACATCCCTACATGTAACATCAAATTGTTTCGTCCAAACATAAAGAGCATCTCACACACTCCTACCTGTATGTGATGTTAGGATACCCTGGCACACCTTTGGCCTCCTCCAGTTGAGACTCGCTGATGTCGATGCCCACCACTGTCTGGAAATCTGGTGCCAGAAGTCGGGAATTCTGACCTGTTCCACATCCCAGATCTACAGCGAGCACATGTGGCTTTCCTTTCTGAACAACAAAGTTATTTTGGTCAATATGGTGAATGTTGCAGATTTGAGGAGATTTGAATGGACTGATATGTAATGTATTTGGTCACGTACCTTTTTATCAAGGTACTGAAGAATAATGTTCTTTAGCTCGTCTGGAGGCGTAAATCGATACTTTTGGTAAACAGAGGCATGATCCTTCCCCTCAAAGAAGCGGTATGTCATAGTTTTTGTATTTTCTCCTTCTCTTCTGTTGCAAATGTGTTGCCCTCTCCGAAAAATGCTTGGAAACGGTGTCCTTTCTTTGTTTTTTTCCCTTTCAGTCTCCTCTTCCTGCAGTTAACCTCTGTCACATTACACTTCTTACAGCATTTAACTTTTCACCCACCTCCTGAAATGTAGACAAAGACAGAAATAATCCCTGAGATTAACAGGAACAAGGTAAATCAAGTAGCTGTTAAAAAATTGTAGCACAAAACTTTGTAGGAAGAACTACACAGATGAAAGTAATCCAGAGAAAAATGTTTCTTACAAGGTGAAAGCTCCCCTTGATGAAGTGTGCCTTGCAACTCAGCAGCAGATCGGTTAAGAATGTCTAACATAGAGGCAGGCCCTTTTGCTTAACCCATTCATGGCCAGAGGATATCTGCGGATTGTATTTTACAATCTGCCTATATCATTT